GAACCGGTGGGTTCTATTGATGTTTAGCAGCGACAGGAGCTGTTGAAAGGCAGCTGAGAACAGCATGTATGCCCTGTGTGGCTCTTGTTCATTTTGTAAGTGTCTATGTATGGTTTTTGGTTATGGGCCATATATGTCTGTAATGACGGGTTCATCACATGAAGCAAAATGCCTATTTTTGACTGAGTAATCTAAGATGTTAAAAAAAAAATCACCCTGAGGCTTTGAAACTTGGATCTCTTTGGCGTTTCACATACATGGCACACGATCAGGAGAGCAACAGCCAGAAATCCTAAAACATCCCTAGAACATGTAAGAACTTGAATTCGCTTGGTTGTTAGACCTTTTAAGCAGAATGAATTGAATTATTCCAATGATGTGGATTTTTCTTTATATCTCTTTTTCCGAGCCTTGTTATGCTCAGACACCCTCCCCGCCCCCGTCATAATTCTTTCCCCTTTCTCAAGGAGTTCCTGTCAACAAGGCGAGATGTCTCCTAGTCCCTTGGATAATGTTCGCATATAAATCTCTCCCGAGGCCCTACAGGCAGACAAATGATCATGCTGTTTATCTGCTTCCTCTTTTCTGACAACTTCCCCTCCTTGATTAGAGATTGTTGGCCCTGTGCCATCCGCCCCCCACTCTGCTTTCTGCTCTTGACCGCCGTTTCAAAGAACAGAAGCCCCTGATACTAAAAGCAAAGCAGGGTCACTGTGTGTGAAGGTGAACAAGGGGCGGTCAAGCAATGGTAGGCAGCAGATGGGCCCTTTCAGTGTGGCTTTTTGGTATGTCAAAAAAGTTAGTGTGTGGTGTTGGCTACAGGACTATGTAGTCCCCAGTTGGCACCTGCAATTAAGTGGTCTTAGGCTAGCTTTTATGGCACTGTCTTGGCTTCCCATTTATAATAGGAGGCTAATGCTGCTCTACCTTACAAAGTTGTTGGGAGGATGGATGTGAAGTGCTTTAAACACTATGATAATACAGTATAGGTGAGGTGTACGGAGACGTTATACTCCACCACAAAACTTTGACGTGCACTTCAAAATGCAACCATCCCAGGAAACTCTTTGTCACATGTTGCCTTTTTAAAAGGTCTTATTATCCTATGCTTTTCTTCCCTGAATACTAACATTTTCAAAATTCAGAACATGTCTGCCACATCCCTCTGCTACATACCTGCTGATCATATAGGCGCTACTGTGTCTTCATCAGTAAGAAATGTATATTTGTTATGCATCAGAATTCTGTGAAAGAGAATTGCATTGTTTGGACACAGTGGACTGCAAGCTATGACTTGGAAATAAAACCACATTAACTCATCACATGCTACTTCATTTCCAGATATTAGTACTGCTAGACCTGATGATGTAAGGCTCTCACCAGCCAATAAGGGATCACTCTTTGTGAAACACTATTTTTAAGTCCTGGCTAGGTGAAGTATTAGATATACAAATGATCAAAAGGTAAAACAAGCATCCATGTCAGGAATTGTCCATAGTGAGGCTAGTGAAGTTCTGTCAAGCAGGTTATGTCTGCAGACATTCTTCTCAATGTGGCGTAGTGGTTAAGAGCATGGGACTGGGACTCAAGTGACCTGGGTTCTAGTCCCCACTCAGCCATGGAGCCAACTGGGTGTCTTCAAGCCAGTCATAACCTACCTACCTCATAGGGTTGTTGTTGTTTGGATAAGATTGAGAGCAGCAGGAGGAAAATGTTGTGAACCACTCTGACATCTTTAAAAAGGAAAAAGGTGGGATATAAACCTAATAAATAAATAAATGCTAACAAGAAAAGCAGTTGGGTTCTGTCTGGCAAGAGGGGGTCATGGCACAAAGTTACCAAGCAATCCCAGCCTGGTTGGTTTGCTCTGTTTTATCCTGTTTTTCAAACAAATAGCACTCAAGGTAGCTAGCAATAAAATCTAAGTTAAAAGCAACGTTCCTAATTTAAACACAACGTAGATATAAATAAATTAAAATACAGTGAAAATCCGATGACCAACAACAAAAAATAAAGAGTATCAGGTAATTAAATCCCTGTTTGTAACAGACCAGCTTATATGCCAGATACCAGCTTGAATAAAAGTTCAGTTCAGGTGGTTTCTTGTGATAGATCAACAACATATGAAAAATGAGTCACTCCGATCTATTAAATAGAGTTAGCAATTGCAGGCAGTCAGAAAACACAGGCCTTGACTTGTTTGAATTAATATTTATAATATGTATTTTACATCCAAGAATCATTTATCAATCCAAGGGGTGTGTGTATGTGTGTGTGCCTGAATGTGTGCACAAATGAATGTTACCTAGGGACATGTTAAATCTTCATACTCAGTTATGTGTAATGTGAAGTTCTGGATCTCCTCCAGGAACTAAAAAAGGAAATGTACACATCTGGGCCAGTGTTGCTTTAGTAAAACACTCTGGGAAAGGCCATCTTCAGATCAGAATTATATAAGTAGCAGCTTATTCAGTGCATAATCAAAGCTATCATCATATTTTCTTTCTGTCTGTCTGTCTGTCTGTCTTTTTGAATTTAACATTTCTTAGTAACTGCATACATTTTGGCTTTTGTAAAGAAAAAAGAGAAAAGGAGATGCTTCAGAGATTGTTGCAACTAATGTAAATATAAAAGAAGTTGTGCTATAATAGAAACTTTGGGAAAATAAATGAAAATCTATAGGAATGAAATCTATAGGTTATTAGGGTATCTTCCCCAAAGAATCTTGTTTTCCTGATTAGAGTGAAGACAGTTCCACAAAAAGTGCTTATGCATTTGTTTTAACCTGTTTTTAACATAAAAAGTTGGGTAGTTTTGTGTATATGGGAAAATCTATAGATTTTGGTTGATGTGAACTGAGCCCTGGGCATATTTATTTGATACCCCTTCTTACTAGATAGATGAAAACTTTTGTTAAAATTACCCTAGATAGTAAAATACAGAGATGCTAACAGTAACTACTGTGGGCTGACTGCATCCCGCTGTACATCTGCATTCCACACCAAGCAGAATATTGTCACAATCCTAGGCACTCTGATAAGGGACTGAGAAAGCAAAATCTCAATCCATGGGGCAGCATAGCTCCAGACTTGGTGGAATTGTGGCCCATGAAATTCGCCCATGGAGGTGAAAGGGGAAAAGATGGGTGAATGGATTTCTTTGTTGTCTTGCCTGTTTTGCTGGCATAACATTATACCATTATTGGCGGATCAGCACATCTCTTAGGAGGAATATGAACTCAGGTAGGTGCTTTTCTTCCCCCATCTACGGATGTGCAGATTTTGTTAAATCCTGTTTCTGTTTTGTGGATTGTCAGGTGATTTTCATTCATTGATGGAACTGATTTATGAGTTTTATAACCAGAATTTTGTTCTATTTGTGCAAATTCACATTAGGGCAAATGCACATTTGTTTTAATGCACACTTGTGCAAATTCTGCTTTTTTATGCACACTGGTTTGCATTCACTAAAGTATATTCCTGCCTTTGTACAAACATGGTTTGGTGCTAATGTAAAATAGTGCAAAAACAGTCTGCAAGTCTGTGGAATCTGCATAACTTGGCACAAGCCACTCAGTTTCATAGAAATCCACATTAGAATCTGTTGCAGATTTATCCGGCATCCCTGCCCTGAACAAATTACTGAATTCCACCCGACCTTTCTCCTTGTGTTGGTGTGGTTCCACCAGACTAGGGATTACCTGGGCTATACGTATCACAGGCACCATGGTTGCACAACGCCTCTGTAAATTTGCATCTGTAGTATAGCTCTTATTCCTTCTGTCAGCATAACAGAGTTCTGCAGTAATCTCTGCCCAATGGATGTTTGCCTTTGGCAAAGAAAACATGAATTTCAGTGAAAGAGTATACCTACATTACTGACTCTGCAATGACGTGTTCCCCATGGTTACCTTATTCTGACATATGAGCTTTAAGTGTATTCCTGTCATTAAGTTTAACCAGATTTAACCTTGTTTGACAGATTTTTTAACCCTTTTAACAACACCTCTGATTCCTAAGTATATCGGTGATAGCTTAAGTTCCCTTTACTCAGAGCATGCTCCTCTGGCCTGCCTTACGTTCATTACAGCCAGACTTGCTCCTACCTCCCCAGCAGCCACCGTAAAAGAATGAAAAGTCTCCAAAAGTGAGTTGAGGCCATCGCTTGTGTTTTCATGGCAATTCTTTTGCTGTATCCCTAGGTATCGTGCCATTTCAATGTGTGCTGGATTTTAGTGTGTAATTGTACACATTCATCTTGTTCATTTTGTTTCACTTTGAAAAAGGGGGAGTTTAACACTAATTCAGAATTCAGGAAGATGAATTAGACAGTTCGGGAGCGTGGACCTAACTTGCCTGTGGAAGGCCTGTGGTTTAATCTTTGGTGTTCCCAGGAAGGACAGAAAAACTCCTGCTTGAAACCCTGGTTGCTGCTGCCAGTCAGTTCTAGCAATATTAGGTTAGATGGACCAGTGGTCTCATTCTGTATAAGTGAACCTCCTATTCTCCTAAGTTAAATTGGCTTTCAGACAAACTTTGTGAAGGGTTTTATAGCCAATCTCCTAAATAGAATATATATCCTAACAAAAAGGCACCTACCAGCCTTCTGTGTTTTCCAGCCGGCCTCTTCGAAGACCCTGTTCTGGAGTGCTCCTCTCAAGAGTAGCAAAGCAGGAGCCTTCTAAGGATGGTGCCTTTTTAGTAGTGGCTCTCGAGTTGCAGAATGGTGTGCTGAGACAGACTTGCCTGGCGGCTTTTACCTGGTCATTTCAGATTCCTAGGAAAAAAAAATTTTTTTCATTCTCTTGGGCGTTTTGAAATCTGTGATCTTCGCTTTTAACGTACAGCTTATATGTTGGGTAAGTTTAGTTATGCTGTAACACTGCTTCAGTTTATTGGTCTCTCTGCTAATAATTTTATGTTGCAATTTGTTCTTTATGTGCTGTGTACGAGCAACTGGCTTTAAAACTCTTTCAGCAGTTGCTACCTTCTGCTTTACAGCATGGGCGGACACCTCTCCATCTTGCGGCGTACAAGGGTCATCTCCGAGTTGTCCAGATTTTGCTCAAAGCAAACTGCGATGTGGATCTTCAGGATGATGTGAGTAGCTGCAAATAAGGAAATTCCCAATAGTCCAAAGAACAAAGTTCTGTCCTTTAGAGAGGCCTCTGTGTAGAGCTGAACTCTGCTTTGTTTTACTAATTCTGAAACCTGATAGGTCAGCATGTAAGCAAGACTGTCAAGGACTTTGGCAATGCAAACCCTTCGGACTTGTTTTCAAAATCTGCAACCATCCCTGAAATAAAGCAATGGTGCATTTAAGTGAAATAAGTGTTTATTTTATACAGTTTTGGATTCATTTTTAACTCCTCAAGGAGTTCAGAGCTGGGGCTCTATGGAATGTTCCCCTGTGCAATTTGCCAAAAAGCCCACCCATTTCCAAACCTTACTCACCTTTCCTCCTGATTTTCTTTCTCTCCTGGAGCTTTCAATGCCACAGCCACCCACTACATCTTTTGCACCATCCAGAAGTATGAGATCCATGGCAGGAATGTCCCTTTTATTATAAATTATATATGTCTTCAGCATCATACATTACTAAGCAATTTGTGGCACAGAAACCCAGGATGATATTTTTACCCTGTTGATGGATCGCTCTTTGCCATTCCTGGGGCTACTCTGCTGTAATCAGACTTAAAATGAAGAATTAAATCACTGCTTTGAGTATTTTTACAGTATATTGGCAAAATTCAATTGTCATTGAAATCTGTGCAAAATGAATACTTATAATACTGTTGCTGAACTCAGAGTAGAAATTTAGTAGCTGAGGGAAAGGATTTAAGTGATTATAATTTGAAAGCCATCTTATATATAAGTTCATTTGATAAAGTAATAAGACTATCTTTTCCTGCAGCTTTCCCCAGGTTTTTGTTTACACCTGAGATTAAATATACTTCCCAGAAATAGCTGTCTTCTATTAGATATGCTCCTTGTAGATTTTTGTTGAATTTAACTCGCCTAAGCATTTTCCTTCACTCTTTATTGTGTTTTAATCCTCTCTTTCCTACAGGGAGTTCAAGGTAGTGTATACATAATTTCTCCTTTCCAAGTTTGTCCTCACAACAGTCTTGAGAGGTTGGGTGAGGCTGAGTGAGAGCAGTGGGCTTGAGTTTATCCAGTGTGTCAATAAATTAGTATGGATCTTCCTAGTCTTAGTTCAAAACTCTAACCACACATTGGCTGACAACACGAAGAACTTAGCAGTGCTTTGCAGAAATATTCATCTCCCTTTAACTTTTACACATGTGTAAAAGCTGGAATAGAAATTGATTCCATTGGCATTATTTCCACTGGATGTACACAAAATACTCAATGGTATGAGGGTGCAAAATATTTTTATTGTGGTATAAGAGTTAGGTAAACAAAAACAAAAACAAATGGGCACTTGTTGGTTGCATAAGTATTCATCTCCCCGAGTCAAGACTTGGTAGAAGCCCCTTTCACTGCAATTGAAAATGCTGGCCTTCTTGGGTAAGTCTCTACCAGCTTTGAGCATCTGAATCCTGCAATGTCTGTCAATTCTTCCTGACATAAATGCTCTGGCTTGGTCAGGTTGGGGATAGGGGCCATTGCCACAGATTCTGAATTGGATTTAGGTTTGAGCTTTGACTGGGCCATCCTGAGACATTCAGGTTCTTATTTTTAAATCACGCCAATGTTACCTTGGCTGTGCATTAGACATTGTCCCACTGGAAGGCAAACCTGAAGCTGAAACAGGTTCTTTTCCATCTAGAATTGCAGAGTATTTGGTTCTATCCATCTTGCCCATATGCCTCACCAGGTTGTCCATCCCTGCCATGGAAAAGCATCCGTACAACATGCTGCTTCCGCTGCCACGCTTCATCAATGGGATAGTGTTCTCAGCATAGTAAGCATAGTTAGCTTTGTGCCACACATAGCCTTTTGCAGCAAGGCTAAAAAGCTAAGTCTAATCAGACTGGGCAATATTTTCCATGCATTTGATGTGTCTCTCACATGCCTTTTTGCCAATTCCAGATAGGCTCTGATATGGGCTTTTTTCAGCAATGTTTTCTTCTTACCAGTCTTCCACAAAGTCCAACATTATGGGGCCATCAGGTGATGGTTGTCCCATGGATGGTATGTCCCATCTTAACTGTCACTCTCTCCAGATTCTTCAGAGTTACATGGTTGCTTCCTTCCTCAATCGGTCACTGAGTTTTTGTGGGATAGTCTTCTCTTAGCAGAGTTATGGCTGAGCGATATTCCTTCCATTTTGTAATAATAGATTTAATGGTACTCCAGAGCATGTTCTTAGTGTATAGAAGAGGCCCATTTCTTGCACCTTACAGGCTGTTTAGATAGATTCATCTGATTTGGAGGAGGAGGAGAGAGCAGAGGAGCAAGGAGGGGGTGGAGCAGTTGACAGATTCAGGGTGGCATAGAGAAGTTTCTCAAACAGAGCATGAGAATCTGCCTGCCTTGGAAAGGGTGGGAGGTTTTTCAGGTTGTGGGGGCAGCAGATGCAGGGAGAATTCCTTGATGTGCAGTGGCAGAAGAAATGAGCTGCCCAGTTAGAGGATCTCTGGCATTCCTGCCATCTAGCCCACAAGTAGCAAGAGCCATCCTGAGGTTGGAGGCAGAAGCTTTACTGCAGGGGTCTCAAACTCAACTTACCTGGGGGCCGCTGGAAGCAGAGTCTGGGTGAGGCTGGGCCGCATCAAGTATTCCACCACCGCGGTGGTGGTGGGCCGCTCATCCCGCGTCGCTCCCGGAGGCACTTTGAAGGCTGCAGGGCCCCTCCCCCGTGCCCCGCCCGTCCCGGCAATTGGCCCGCGGGCCGCGAGTGTGAGACCCCTGCTTTACTGAAAGAGGGAAAGTTTCAGTTTCAATCCAAGCTTAATCCACTACTCTAGTAGAAGGCATCTTTTGAATCATATTGTTCAATAACAAACTGTGCTTCTAAGTTTTTATTTTGAGTTTGATAAGGAGATGGAAGAAGATCTGCCGAGCTATATCCTTTGATAACCCAATCCTGCTAGATGTTGCTTCTGAACATTATCCCATATGTAATAGCTTCTTGGGGCCTTCCAGAAACAGATGTACTTAATCTGAGATCATGTGGCATGGGAATTGTACACAGGTGGGCTCCATTCAACTCGTTAGATGGGCTTCTTGAGGCAGTGGGTTGCATGAGAGCTTATTTAGGCATGTCATGGCAAATACAGTTTGTTCATTTTGTCCAGTTTGTTCATTTTACTTAACTTTTTGGTGCCACAATACAAATATTTTGTACCTTCACACTGTTGAGTATGCTGTATATATCAAGTGGTAACAATGTGAACTAAATCCATTTGAATTCCAGGTTGTAAAACAACAAAATGTGGAAAAGTCAGTGGTGTGAAAACTTCTGTAAGGTTTACTTTCAGATAAATGGTCTTAGAAAAACAGTTTCCTGACCTCTTGGATTACTAACATTCCCAACTTTTTAAAGATTCACCTTCATCCTCCTATTTCTCAGTGAGCTGTGGGTGTCAATAATTTTGTATATCCTTTAGACAGTAGATAATTACCCAATTAACTTTTAATCTGCCAAATGTTATATAGCATAAAGAAAATCTAAAATGTTGTGGAGTATTCATGTTCAAAATGCTGACTTCATGTTCTACAGATGTTGATCGTTAAGATATTGTAAAAGATCTTATCATTAGTTGAAGAATGACCTCCAGTGGCCTTGAATGGGATTATTATGAATTTCTGCCTGTGGAGACCAGCTCTCTAGAGTATGAAACCCCAAGAAGTAACTCCTTCCTTCTCCCTGCTAATCCTGCAAGCCCTTATTGGAATCCTGATGCCATCTCTGATTGGTCAATGAGTGCTCACACAGCACATACCTCAGAAATAGTCAAGGGGAAAGTGTCCCTGGTAAAAGAAGTCAAGGAAGAAAAAGATAAGAAAAAACAGAGGAGAAAGGCTAGAAAAGATCCTAGAAGATTGCAAAGAGAGAAGGAGGTTAGCACTCTTGACTTCAGCTTCTCTCTGACACAGTTGCATGTAGCATTCAGATTGGCCACTTGGCATGTCAGAAATACTTACAAGTGCATGGTTGCATGTCTGGCTTATACGATGTTTTGCCAAAAGGTTCTCAACCTCCGTATTTTTCCTATAAGATTCCTGTGAAATGTTCCTATTTCCATGATGTTCTTCCCAGGAATTGTTTGCACAGTCAGGATGCAAAGGATACTGTCACAATTTATACAAATCCATTGTATACAGAATTAATAGTCTTCTTGCTGCAAATGTTTTGTTGATTGCTTTGGTTCATTTCTATGTTCCTCTGATGCATTATGGAACTCTTCCTACTAGAGGCCATAAGCCTACAATTATTTACATTATTATTTATTTTATGATTAAGTAGAGATGAACCAAGAGCTCCTCATTTCCCCGAACATAACATACTATTTGAATGTAGAGGGGAAAAAATCAGAGGTTTAGGAACTAATGAGCTTTTCTAAACAAGGCTGTTCATCTGCTACATCTACTTTCAATTTCATTTCAGAATTGAGAACTGACTATTAGATGGAGTGTTTCCTTTCCTGCTTTTCCATGACATAACCTCTAGGTGATGCTGTGTGGAACAGGAGAATAGTACAATTGCACAATTGGAAAAAGTGCTCTTTTTCACTTGCACAAGTAATACTACATTTTCCCTATTGTCATAAATGTGCCAGGAGTACTGTTTAAAAATAGAGTGATATTGGCTAACACTGTGGGTAGGATGTGAAGAGAGCTCAGCAAAAGCCTTGTATTGAAAAGCACATTATCTTGGAATAACTAATTACATAAACTTGTCTTGCTCAACTTGTTGTGCTGCAGTCGTGTTAGCCTACTACTCCCATCATCCCCCAACAACATGGCCATGGTCTAACATCTAGAGTCCATAAGGTTGGGGAAGGCTGATTTAAACACATGGGCATTTAGCATCAGTGCACAGTTCTTTCTGAGCAGGGTTTCTGGACTGACCATGCATGACATAGCTTCTTAGTATATCAGATTACGAGTAAACTATATTTTAAGCACAATTGTGGAACTCACTAGTACCCAGATTCCCAAGAAAGTCCCTAGCCCTCAGTGGTCAGTGCTGTGGGAAAAGAATTGCTTTCTTGACTCAGAAATGATATTGTCAGCAATTAGTGACCTTATAAACCCTCAACAAACTGTCCCTCCTTAAAAAAAAGAAAGGAAAGTAGGTGAATGCAGCACTTCTTGCACTGCATATAATGGGGGCTTGTCAGTTTTGGCTAAATGGAGTTCACTGGTTTTAGGATGTGCGAAGCAGAGTAAGTGCAATTCCCTCTTCTCCTTAAGTCCACCCTCAGCAGCACCTGAAACACTCAGGTATGGAGGTAATAGATTTCTAATCCTTTCCTGTAATAGCTTCCCACTCCTTTCCACTCTTTTGTGCCTAGGGTGGCATTATCTGTGGATATACACTGACATAAGCAACACCCCACACCCTCAGGGAAGGCCCAGGGAAGTTGGCCCAGATAGCTATTTTGTCATGTTTTCTGCCTTGATGCAGACTGGATTTCAATTAGTCTTTGCTACTAGGGCAGTAGAAATTTAACATTCTGCTTTGTGACTTGAGAGTCCTTTTAATTGGAGGGAAATGTTTCCCAGAGCAGATGTTGTCTTTCTCAAATGCCAGCATGTTTAATAAGTCCTTTAATGAACTACATTAGTTTTTCTTGTTGCTGTCACTCTGATCTAATTAAAATAATTGTTACAACAAAAATCTATCAAGCGGGTGAGAAAGTAGGTCTTTTGTTTTGAAATAATCATTAGTTTAATCCATTCTATCTGCAGCAGCTGGTTTTTGAGCACCAACCATTGAGAATGCTTTGAATGCGAACTCCAGGAAAGCACTGTAGCTCTTTTCAGCCCTATATAGCTGAATGTGGTTTGCGATTATCCTCTCCAATTCTCCTATAATTTGCAATTAAAATAATGTTATGTTTTCCTATGGCAGATTTTTAGATATTCTGCTACTTAGTACAAGTTTGTGTGCACAGATCATATGATCCCAACTAATGTTATGCTATTTCTTTATCATGACGATTATGAAATATACATTGTAAATCCCCTACCAGCACTTAGCCTGCAAACTGCAAAACAAGATAACTTATTTTTGCAAAATTGTTGTTTTATGCCTTTTTGTAGAAACTGCATATGAAAATGTAGACTTGCACTTCCAAATATGGACTTCATGTTGGCAGAGATGAATCTTTGTCTAGCTTTCCCTATGTCATACCTTTACAAATAGTTAGGGAGCCCCATTTATGTCCTGTTATATCTCATTATCGCAGAAGTGCAGAATGTTGGCTTGGGGGCTAAATTTGGCTCACCTGGGATACATAGTCTCTGTTCTCCAGATGGTCCTGCCCCCTTTTCTTGGTCCGCCCACTTTTCCTGGCCACACCTTCTTTTCCCGAGCCATTGATTGGTGGCTTCCTGGTGATTCTGTTCATTTTCCCTCCCTCCCTTATTCTGAAAGGTTACAATACCTCTCCTAAGGCTTATCTTCGGGGCAGTAAGAACTTTAGGCTACAATATTCAGGGTTCCTGCTTTGAGCAAGTGTTTATCTAATGGCCTTATTGGCCCCTTCTAACTCTGCTATTCTGTGATTTTATTTTTTGCCTTTTGGCCTTGTTCTCTTTTGCCTTAGGCTCTGTCCATTACTGGAATGTAACCCTGTATGCTGCTTCCACTGGAATTTGGGCCTGGGGCTGAAAGAGCTTCTGCACCACTGCATTATCTGATTCCAGATTGATTAGTTAAGGTTTAAATTTAACAAGCAACCAAGATATAGGAATGCCATGTTTCCAATAGGTTCAGGTCTTTGAGGCCTACAGCAGTCTTCCCTTACCTGGTTCAGATATTTTGGACTTTGGTTGCTGTCAGCCTGAACCAGCATGGCTGATGGACAGGGCTGCAGGCGATTGTAGTCCAAAATATCTGAAGGATACCAGATTGGGAAAGCTTGACTGAGAGAGAAGAACCTATTGCAGAAGCAAGGCATTCTTCTGTCTTGTTTCCTCATTGAAATGTCTTACTGATCAGGATTCAAGATCAGTGACTTGCTCTTCTGCTTGGGAACTATTGCTATTATGTGAAGCGATCACAGGAAATTTGATAGTAGAGCCCTTGCTTTGCATGCATAAGGTCCCAGGTTTGACCCTAGCTATCTCCAGTTAAAATCACCAGGTGGCAGAGGGAACTTCGCCTGAGGCCAGGGAGACTCAGAGTAGTTATGCATCATTGGCCTGACCTCATATAAGAAAGCTTCCTGTGATAATTTAGCCTTTCCCCCTCTATTCCTTGATGAGCAAACGCCTTTCTTTCATTTATCAGGGGAGGACACCCTTTGGTTGATTTATGCCACCTGAAGCTCGGAGACAAGGTTCAATCCAAACATCCAAATTGGACAGCGTGCATGGCGTGGCATCCTACACTAGCATTGTCCTTCTGTGGAAAGTGCTTTCCTTGTTTCATAATAGGGAAGACAATCATGCTAGAGAAAGTTTAGGCAGAAGGTGAAAGGGAAGACCAAATATGAGATGGATTGAAGCCACAGCCTTGAACTTGGAAGCGCTGAATAGAGTTGTCATGGATAGGAACATTCTGGCAGGCTTTCATTCCATAGGGTTACCATAGGTTGAGGATGACTTGATGGCACATAACAATGACATACAATCATGTTGAAGAGTGGAGAAAGTACCATAGTAAAATGTGTGCCCATCTTGCAACTCAGACAGTGCTTAGTTGTGAATTCATCTATTTTTGGTATTTACTTTCTATTGAACCTGCCCTATCATCAGAATTGCCAGGGCAGATGAACATTTAAAATAATCAGAAAATAACATCTGATATGTAGACTTCCTGAACATGCTGTTCCTAGAATTCTTTGCAACGTTTGTCCAAATGAACGTCAAGGTGTCCCAAGGCTTTGGCCTCCCATTGTGTGTTTTTCTCCCTGGTAGATCAGCAGGCAGTTAATCTACCAGGGAGCTGTCGCTTGACTAAGTTCTTGTGGGCCAACCTCTGTGTGGAGCAACTCATTTTGCATTCCAGCTTGCCTATTTACGGTGAAGGTAGACACACTTTGTTGGTGTTTGAATGCACATCGATCCAGTTCACACGTAACCACCCATGAACTGTTTAACCCATGAGTTGTCGGGAATGAGCGCGTGAGCTGTCCACTTGCCACTTCTGTTTGTAATGACATGCAGACCCCAAATGATAAATCGTTGAGAGGGAAACAACCCATAGCCTTAAGGACCACACAATATGGGTCCCAAGCTTTATTCTTGGGTTCATTGTGAAGTGCAAGCCTGAAACGCTCAACAACTGAGCATCCTGGGGTTGCATGTAACTTAGAACAAAAGTGGAAATGAAGCTTAAGTACTGTATGGGCAGGAGGCAGCTATTTACCCAGCAGTTGGTCATGACAGGCAACCTAGGCCATTTCCTCCCCTAACAACAGACATCTAGGAATGTGACAAATGTATGCTTCAAGTCATTTTCGGCTATGAAAGCAATACAAGCTGAGTGGTAAAATGCTCATAATTTTGACTGGTGCGCCCAGTGCCTTTGTGAACTTTATAAATCTAGTTTGTTGAAGTCTCTTTAACATTAGATAAATTTAGGTTCAGTCCTGCCCAGTCATGCAGGTGTCATCTCACTGAGTTCAGTGGGCCTTACTTATGCAGGATTGCTGCATTTTTTAAAACAAACATTTGGTTGTTCAGTCAAATATGCTTCTTAGCTGCATATTTGAATGTACAGAGCTACTTGAGTAGTTCTTGGACACTGTTTCTGTGGTGAGACCTACACGTGAATTGCCAGGTAGAAGTTTGTTAAGAAAATCATGTGCAAGAGCTGTGTAAGTGTGTGTGTGTGTGTGTGTTTGTGTGTGTGTGCATGTGCGTTGGCAAAGGGGAAATGACCCTTCCAAAATCTTAAAACTTTCACTAGCAAGTAAGGGATGCTTCACATATTATCACTCCTACAAGAGAACACAGTAGGAATGAAAGTCTGGGACTTTTGTCTGTGAAGCCAAGTACATATGTTGCACAATACTTGTGCCTGTTTTTCATACAACAGCCCACACTTAGATTTCTTGTTTTGTTTTGTATTTGAGTAACTGTATACATGGCTGCCTATAGAAGGTGTATTGATGCATATCCTGTATTTGCATGTATATTTGTGCCAATTAGAAACAGAAAGTATGTTAGTGAATCCTTTGTACTCTTTGCAGGGTGATCAGACAGCTTTGCATCGAGCTACTGTTGTAGGGAACACAGATATAATATCAGCTCTTATCCGGGAAGGGTGTGCCTTGGACAGGCAAGACAAGGTAAAGCAGAAATGCACAGAACTGGTAGTAATTTTGCTATGCTGTCTCTGAAGGAAGCTCTTCCAACCTGCTCGTGCCATTTGTGGTGGAAGTTGCTTTGAATACACTGTGGAAGACGACACACAACCACTAGCCCTTGAACATTGTATTACACTGCTTGAACTTTGGCCGTATTTGTATTGCTACTCATTTTCCTTTCTTTACTTTTAATTTTACAAGGTGAAGTAAGCTTTTGCATCACGTCACAGTTGCCCAGATCCACTGTTTTCTGCTCAGTAATGGGCCTCTTCTGAGCTGATAACTGCATAGTTTGGGAGAACACTCTACATAGCGTTGCCCATTGCTTAGCTGTGATTAATGGATTGGAAGCAGATAGCAGCAACGGCTTCTTCCCCTTATGCAAATGCTCTTGTTTAGGTTCAGCACAGCTAAGCTAACCCTAAGGACTGCATAGGCAGTAGTGCGTAGCTTAGCTAATTCTTGCCAGTGTTCATTCATCTCCAGGTTCTGTAATCCACTTCAAACCCAACTAACCAGATCAATCAGGGGATGGCAGCTTGTGGCCATCCAGATGTTCTGGTCTCCATCTCCCATCATCCATAGTCAGCGTAGCTAATGGTGAGAGATCATAGGAATTGTAGCTCATAGCAGTTCTCCTTTCCTGAAATAAATATATAGTGCTGAATAAATTGATTCTGGGTGCATACAGTATTCTTTTCTATATGGTATACTTTTTCCTGAAGTTCTGTTCTGTACCTGTTCTACAGGATGGGAACACGGCTCTCCACGAAGCCTCTTGGCATGGATTCAGCCAGTCAGTCAAACTGCTTGTTAAAGCAGGGGCAAATGTTCTTGCCAGAAACAAGGTGAGATACAGGCAGAAAAGAGCTTTCGTGTTCTTTTGTAAAGAAAATGGAAATTATTTTTAAATAGATGTTTCTTCTCATCCGTATTTTCCAGCAGTTACACTTCTTGACAAGTGGGAGTGCACTTCTGGATAAAACTCTACATTTTGTTTTTAATTGAGTATTCCTAGGTCATTCCCTCATGAGGAAGCTTCTGTAAGGGAAATGGTGTGTTTTGACAGCTAAGACAAAAAATGCTCCATTGCACCAAGTGTTGCATTACTTATGACCGAGGAATACTAGCCGGCCTTCGAGTGTTGTAATTGGTATGGAATGGGTTTCTTCTAGCAAATGTGTGACTATGAATTGGACTGGCAAAGAAATGCAACAAGAGTCTAGTTTATCAGAACAAATAAAATGCATCATCTGCAAAACCAAGGGGAAGTGGCTTGCCTTCTACAGTGGTGCTTTCAGACAAAGGGCTTCCTAGTACTGCCAATTATTTCTCTTCTGCTGAAAGCTAAAAGCAAAATTCCCACTGATTGTTCACACTTACTGAGATCTAGCACAGTTTTGGTGTGTGTATCTGACTGTGTTCCATCCAAACAGTGGGAACTGTTCACCCACCCTTTCTTCAACCATTTTGAAATGGGTACCAGTTTTTGTTTTCTGTGCATTTAAAATTATTTTCAAGTCACTTTCACAACACTGGTAGAAAACTTGCCTGCTTGATTCATCTAGTTAACTTCCAGCTCTCCTTTATTTCCCCCCCCCCCCCATCAGTTTCAGAGCCAGGCTAAAACAGCACAAAATGTCTTTACATCTCAGCTCCTAGTTCTCCAGACAATGGCAGGGGGATGCTTTGATTCTTTGTTTCTTGAAATTGACAAGCTGTGTCTCCATTTAGCCTTTGTATTTTTAATGCACCTCTTGCCCAATTCCAGGGTGCCTCTGTGCAAGCATAGTGAACTTTAAATAAAGTGATCAAACACTGGTAAGGCCATGGCAAGTTCACAGCCAAATCCCTGACATCTAGGTGCTATCAGCTATAAAATGAAATTAGCAAAAGTATTCTATCCACACTTAACTGTCTTGAGTCAAACATAGCATTGAAATGAACAATGCAAATAAGGACAATGCAAATTAGCCTTTAGTGACACTGTTGCTTAAAAAAAAATCCCATCAGGTTTGTTCACTTACTGTGTTTCCTCCCTTCTTTATTATATTATTCTGCTATTGGGCCATGAACCTGATTGCTACTTAGCATGAGGAGTCTTATAAATGTAATTCTGTAAAGAACAGAAAAAATAATTTACTTCTTCCCAAAACATTTGGTCAAACATTGTGGAGTGATATGCATCAAAACTGTATGAATGCCTGAGGGCGCTCCAAGAGCAACAGCTGCCTTTCTACCTGTCTTGCTTATCAGCGTCCATATTTGATTACAGATTCATTTCATGTGGAGACCAGACATAATTCATAGAAGCAGAGATGGAAAGTAATACAAGTTGTTTCTACACTGTGTCCTTTCTAAACATGACTAGTTTTGGTTGGCTCATTTTTACCCACCCTCTGTTTCCTAAGGCAGGTAACACGCCACTGCACTTGGCTTGCCAAAACAGCCATTCTGAAAGTGTTCGGGTCCTACTGCTTGGCGGCTCTCGGGCTGATATCAAAAACAATGTGAGTATGTGTGTATAGATCGCTGTTGCAGGTGGCGGGTAGCATCTGAATAGGCCAAAATAAATGTGATGGTGGATTAAGAACTTTCTTTGTAGATGGAGCTGGCAGTGTTTACCATGGGAAGCAGCCAGATTATTGAATGTTAATGTAAAGAATGTTGGTCTCTGTTTGTGTTTGAAATTGCAGGTATCATGTTCATAAAAGATAAAGTTTTTGTTATGTGGAAATCCTATACTCTCTTGGGAGCAAACACACACACACAATTGTGCTGCAGTAGTACTAAGGATTGTGTAGAATATAGGATCCTCATCACCTAATTTTTAAAAAGCCAACAGAAATCTGCTGCTCAATATGGGTGATAAAGAAGATAAAAATAGAGTTCTCCTATCACACAGATGTAAATTCATGAGTGTAGCTCATGGATTTGGATGAGCATATATGTGCCTATTGCTGTGCTGCAAAGTGGCCTCTCATTTATTTACTTATTTAGATGCTTTCCCAAAAGATAAAAAATGAGTAAAATGAAAAATAGAATCATATTAAAGTCAAGCATCTGAAAATTGATTGAACATTATTTAAATAAGGTAGCAGTAGAAAAATATGTTATGATAAAAGCAGCAACTCGGGTGTTCAGAAGAGTTGCTAAAGCAAGCCATCCTCCAGAAAAGGCCTTCCTCGTGCATCAGTTGATCTTTGGCTGTGACTTAATGTGAAAAGTTGTTTGGAAACTGCCTGGTTTTTGTTATGGTTACTGATGGGTTTATCAGTCCATCCATATGTTTAGCTGTAGGAATGGTGTGAATAGTCTGTTGCCATTTCTGCCACATGAAATTTAATGGACCTGTATCAAAAGAACCCTAGCGAATATAAGATATCAAAGTTAATCATCATCTGAAAGGTTTTTTCTTAAAAAGAAAAAAGAAAACTTGCTGAAGGCTTAAAAACCTGACAATTTGACAGAGAGGGACCAACTTCTCATACTACTTCTCAAATGAAAAAGAATGTTTATATAAGTTAAAGTCTACAAATACAGACTTTGTAGTCTACATATACTATCTCTGTGTAAGCAAAATAGTGTAACTGGACCATTACCTCACAATTACCAAATGGGCTACCAGAGGAGAAGAAACAGCAATACCGCCCGTGTTTGGTTAGCCAGGTGTCCAATATGCAGCTCAGTCTATGTATGTTTACTCAGGTGTAAGTCTCACACTGTTCAAGGGAGCATGGCCTCTGGTAAGTATGTGTAGGATTGCAGCATAGGATGTGGAAGACTCTCTTAGCCAGAGCTTTCTTACTGTGATTTGCATTTCCCCCCTTACTTTTAGGCAGGAGATACCTGTTTGCATGTCGCAGCTCGTTATAATCACTTGCCCATCATTAGGGTGCTCCTCAGTGCTTTCTGTTCTGTCCATGAAAAAAATCAGGTCAGTGCATGAACTTCATTGTTGCTGTGCTCCATGTTCTATAAGGCTTTCCAAATACAAACTATTTCACTATTTATTTATTTACATGTATTTACAGGCTGCCTATAATTGCTGAGCCTTCCTAGAGGGCATGGTTGTTGTGCTCTGAACTATGTAGAAAGCCATTGCAATAATTTCTTTTTTAAATAGTAGGTTGTAATATCATTCAATATTCTTTTGGTGTCAGGGATGGCCTTAAAGAAATGGAGCACCTTCTGTTTGCCATGTCAGACCTTTTTGCATTTACTTTGATTCTTTTAAAAAAAATCTTCCCATCTTGTACAGTAAAAGCTGTAACATTGATATCAAAATGATTAGAAGATAATCTGGTGAATTACCTTTTATCATACAGCTTTATTTTGAATCAAGCAC